CTCTTCATAGGGCCCAACAGCGGGTGATTGTTACTGAGGGAACTGCCCCGTTGGAAAACAACTGCTTGAAGACCCTGAAGCAAAAACATTGTTCTCGGGATTAACGCCACGGATCAACTTGATTGTGGCGTCTTGACGATCCTGGATCGAGCCAGAACGCCATTCTTGGGACTTGAGCACCGCGAGTCAGCGTAACTTGTGCACCCGCATAAGCCTCAGTCGTTCCAAAACAACATGTACGGTAAGTTCATCATTGGAATCCGTGAAACTTCTGCCATATATACACATGTATATGTATGTATATAATGAACGCGCGCGGCGCTAAGACGATATCCACATTTCGAAGTAAACAAAAGGAACCGCCCTCAATCCGCGAAGCTTTTGCAACTTGTTGAAACGAATGTGCGCGGCGCTGGAGCGACATCCACATTTTGAAATGGAGCCGCCCTCAATCCGTGAAACTTTCATATTTGTTGAACGAATGCTCGCGGCGCTAAGGCGAGAACCACATTTTGAACATGGTTCGCCTTCAATCCGTGAAGCTCTTGCAAATGTTTACGACGAATGTGCGCGGCGCTACGGCGAGAACCACATGTTGAAAACGACCCGCCCCTCATTTCTGAAGCTGCTATCATGTTTGAAACCTCACGGTCATGAGTGGTGAGGAAGTCTCAGGCGAAACGCCCTGCCCGCCCCAAAAACTGGCTTCGGGGTGCGACACGGGAAAGTTGTTTATAAAGAAGAGGAATGGGGGAGGAGGAGGAGGAGGAGGAGCAGGAGGACAAGGAGGAGGAGGAGGAGGAGGAGGGGCGTCGCATGGGGGCTGGAGGAGGAGGAGGAAGGGGGGAAGGAGGAGGTAGGAGGTGGGAGTTGGGAGAAGGGGAAGACGTAGGAGGAGGAAAAGGGAGGGAGATAGCGGGAGTAGGTAGGAGGAGTGGGAGGGGGATGGGGAGGTGGAGGAGGAGGAGGAGGAGGAGGAGGACAATGTATGGCGTAAACTGTATGTGGTATGAGAGGTAGGAGGTATGAGATAGGAGAGGGAGGTGCCCTCCTTAGGAGGTATTGGGCTCATGGGATGGTGTTGGTCTCATGTTGGGGTCGGCTTGGGGTCATCTTCGTTCAGGCCCTGGGGCCACCTGTGTCATGCTGGGGTCACGTTACGCCTGGGGACCATGGCGGTTATCCTGCCCCCTGAAGGTTAGAGGAGGGACCATGGATAAATGAAGAAATCACGGAGCTTCGC